TACTGCCAGAAGTTCTCTTCTCGTGACGTAATAATTTCGCTCAGGTTTGAGAGAACTTTACTAAAATATCCAAGGACTCTTTCCTGTCCTCCTTGAATTCTGAGACAAGCACTCCTCCAATTCCCACATTACTTGCATCTGTATCTAAGATGAACTCTCCTTCTGGCAGTGGATACCCTAAAATTGGTGCTGTGATTAAATGCTTTTTTAAGGTTTCAAAGGCATTCTGGCAGTCTACATTCCAGCGGTATTCTCTTGCTTCCTCTGTAAGTCGCGTTAATGGTTTAGCGATATCTGCAAACTTCTTAATAAACCTCCGGTAGTAAGTACACAGTCCCAGAAAACTTCTCACTTGGTGTTTGTCAGTTGGTTTTGGCCATTCTTAATAGAATCGATTTTTCCCTTATCCACGGCCACTCCTTCTTTACTAACTATATGACCCAGATAATTGACTTTACCTTGAAATAGCTGGCACTTCTTGGGGTTTAACATCAACTGGGCAGCTTCAAGCCGATTAAAAACGTTTTCTAAATTCTTCAGATGGTCTTCAAATGTCTCCCCCAAGACAATTATGTCGTCTAGATAAACTAGGCATGTTTTCCAAGATAACCTCTCAGCACATTTTCCATAAGCCTCTCAAATGTCGCAGGGCGTTACAAAGTCCAAATGGCATAACGTTGAATTGCCATAATCCAGATCCTGTGGTTGAAGGCTGTCTTTTCTTTATCTACCGGGTCCATTTCTTACCTGCCAGTATCCAGACTTCAAGTCCAAAGTAGAAAATAATTTACTTCCAGCCAATGTGTCTAATGTGTCATCGATCCGAGGAAGAGGATAACTATCTTTCTTGGTAACGTTGTTCAGCAACGGTAATCCACACAGAACCTCGTTGTTCCGTCTTTCTTCTTAACCAGGACCACCGGAGAGACCCATGGGCTCGTAGAAGGTTCTATCACCCCGTCCTTTCTTCATTTCCTGAACAATCGTTTCAGCTTCCTCTCTTTTCGCCTGTGGTAATCGTCGAGCTGTTTGACGAATTGGCTTAGCATTACCAGTATCAATTTTATGCTTAACAACGGTAGTTCTTCCCGTCTTTCCTCCTTTCGGTACGAAAATATCACGATACTGCCGAAGAAATTCCCTTAATTTCCTTTCTCAATCTGATTCAGAGACTGTCCAGCAACCGCAACCATTTGATCAAATTTATCGTTGGAATTATCAGACGTTGTCGTCTGACGGATTATGGATGTGACAGGTACACAAGTTCCTACTTTTGTCTCTTTCTTGATGGTTACTGGGTAGTCATTGACATTAATAAGTCTTACAGGAATTTCTTTAGCCGAAGTCACTAATTCCTTTCCAATTATGATTCCACGGCCAACTTCGTCGTCATGATTCCGAGGCTCCATCCATAACAGGTGTTCCTTCATCCACAATTCCCTGTAACCGCGCTACTATTATCGTTTCACTTCTCGCAGGCACGACTGTATCTTCTTTAACGGCTGCTTGCATAGTGTTGTCATCATGTGGATGGAGAAATACCTCCTCGTTACCAACTTTGATGACCTTATTCTTAAAATCCAATTGGAATCCATGCGTATTCATTACGTCCATTCCTAATATAACATCCTCTTCGATGTCAGCAACTATAACAGTATGGACGAACTTTTCTGCTCCAATTCCTAATTGTACCTGGATTTCTCCATGAATGTTGGCATTTTCCCTGTGGCGGTCCGAAGTCGCAACCTCGTTGGTAACAGTTTCTTTCGGCTGTTTATAACTGTCGGGCGTATAATGGTTCTGGTCGCTCCAGTATCCACCAACAACGTATGCTTTTTTACCATTTATTTCTCCATCTACATATACACTATCTTCACGACATTTCAAAGAAGCTATTAGTATGAGAGGGTCTTTGGAAAAGTTCTGGGTCGAAGCTGCCCCCCTAAGGCCGACCCGTTCTAGTTTTCCTGATGGTGAGTTTCTTGATTTGTGTCGTACCTAGGATGCTTACATGAACTTCGTACGTGTCCTATTTCGCCACAATTCCAGCATCTTATGGTCTTCGTTTTCTTGTATGTCATGCTTTTCATCATATTAACGAGCTGGTCAAGTTTATCTTCATCTTCTTCCTCTTTTACAGTCCTAACTTTACTGTAACCGCCAGAGGCCTGCGTAGCTGACTCGTATTCGAGGGCGGCGGATAAGACATCAACCAGCGTCTTGTGACGAGCTAATCGTAGTGTTCTTTGCATCTCATGATCACGAAGACCATCAATAAACGTTTGAACGGCCAACTTTTCCATCATGTCTTCGGGAGCTGTTGGATAAGCATATCGCACTAATCTGGCAATATCTACTTCATATTCTTGAAGAGCCTCATCTTTCTTTTGTCTTCGATTTTTGAGCTGCGACTGATATACATGCTCTAAGTGTTCGTGGCCATATCGCATATTTAACCTCTTCTTCAGTTGTTCGAAATCATCCGTCTCCTCTACGGCTATGGTCTGGAGCACATCTAAGGCATCTCCTCGAAGAGCTATAGTCAGGTTTACAGCCTTTTCTTTTTCTGACCATCCATTCGCTCTTGCAGCTGATTCGAACTGTTTCATGTAGTTGTTCCATGATGATTTTCCGTCGAAAGTTGGAACTTTAACATGAACAGAAACTCCACATCCTTCAAATTTCGGCCGCGTTTCCAACTTACATTTCGTCTCATTTTCTTTTATCTCTACCGGATCTAAAGCTACCGTATTAATTGGTGGGTAGCACTCTCGTGTTAGTTATCATGGTCTCTAACTGTTTGATTTTCTCTTCAACTTTATCAAATGTTTTAGAGACTTCTTCAAACTTCTCACCATTCTGAATACATACTTCGTCGAATCTTCTAGACATATTTTCAATTTTCTCGTCATTTTGTCTAGCTATTTCTTTAATAATTTGAGACGTTTCATCGAATCTTTTATCATTCTTTCGAGAAGATTCTTCAATCATTTGTGACGTTTCATCGAATCTTTTGGAAACAGTCTCGAATTTTCCATCAATTATTTTCGTTTTAAAACGGCTTCTTCTGCTGACTGGAACTGGAATGTCTCTGGGTCGTCTCCATTCTTGTTGAGAACAGTCTTCAGTCGTTCTTGGAGGATCTTCTTGGACCCGCTGCAGTCTTCATCGCGTTCTTCTAGTTGCTCACGCAACTGTTTCACTGAAAGTTCTACTAGCAGCATCTGTTGGTCAGGCACACACGTACTTTTTAAATGTTCTTTCGTACATACGATCACTACTGAACTACGCGGATGTTCCCGACGAACAATACCTTTCAAAAGTTTTAAAGTCTTTTTCAAAGTCACTGCTGGATTTATGTTGAAATCCCACTTCTGGCACCAAATGTTATATATTTATATAGTTCTAATTTATTTGTCTTTATTCTAGTTTATTGTCTATATTTCTAATTTTATTAAAACTCACGATAACTAATTACGAATTTATTAAAGTCTTTATTAATCCTAATTACAAATAATTTATTAAACGTTTCGTTACATTTAAATATCACGGTTCGCGAGCTTCTTATAACTGACTGCCAAATAAAAATCTTTTCATTTATATACACAACTGTTGTCATCCAGAGAATTCGGCGGACTTCTTGAATAGTCTCGTATTTTGGTGAAGGCGCTCGACTCGTTTTTCAACCTCGAGACGTGGATGACTCACCAAAATTAGTGTCTAGAGATTTCTGGTAAACAACTGGTAGCTAAGCTCAGGTATATTTTGACCTACAAATTACGAGAATCAATAAAAAGAATTAGTCATAAAATTTTTACAGTTCTATATGCCATAACATTTAAAATCGTAACACAATCATGGAGAAATGTGGTAGACGCATTCTACCATCGATTAGGGTACTGTCAACTCACAAATTGAGCATATTTTGAACACTTAATAACGTAACTATTGTTAAAAATGGTCTAATCTATCAATTGTTACGTTTTAATGTAGTTGAAAATAATTAGTATAAAAAAATTTATTGAAACAATTAGGCGTTGGCAGACTTCTGTTTTATGTATTTAAGACCTTCCAGACTATAAAAAATCATAAGTGTTACATATAGTTAAACTCGTATTGAATAGAAGATTCTAATAATGACTGAATATACAGGGTGATGCATTTGAAAAACCAAAGTTACTAATAATATCAGAGAAACGGCAAATCTGGCAACATTGCAAATATCAAATATAGAATCTCCGTATTCCAAAATAGGTGTACCTCAAATTTTGTACAATTATAACTAGCAATTTACGAGATAATTGGCCGTTTCCAGACTTTTGGGCCACTCTGTATACAATTTACCTGGCTGTAGCAGCCGCTAACATTCCATGTTGCGATGCGGTGTTTTTTACGTAATGTTAAGTTTGATCTTTCAGTATCCCATTTCGTAGATATTGTCTGGTCGTCCATAAACTTCAAGTCAACAAGTTTCTTGCTTAGTCGTCATTTCATAACTCTCTCTGGGAAGATAATCAGGTGGTTTCCCGTTTCCTGCCTGATCGCAGTCTCACGGCCGGTTGAACTAATATGTAGTTGTCGCCTGTGAGTAATTTACATTAGTCCTGTATGGATCATACAGCTCCAGTGCAATAATCACCTAGCTGCTGCCATATGTCATAAAGGATAGCTGATGAAACATTCGTGAAGATGTGCAGCTGATATTATTTTATTTTTTTTAACAATCTTAAAAGTGAACAAAATTTTTTTCTATAAAACGTTTTATTTTTGACCTAGTATTACCATATGGTCACAGTTTGTAATGTCACATATTCGACAAACAAATAAAATTTAATAGGTTTTTCTGCTTATTTGTATTTTTCCTAATTCCTAAAAAATAATTCAGGCTTTGATGGGTTAAGATCAGTAGAAACCAATTCTTTCCATACTTGTTGTGTCGCGTTTTCAATGGAAAAGAAAAACAAAATTGTAAAAAAACAAATATTTGATTTTAAACTTACCGAAACAAAGGAACAAGCTGAATAAGTGGCTCCAATGGTAAGAGAACTAGTGCCTGTCCACTTTCGGTAGGAATCCATTGATATGAAGTATGAGAAAACCACTATAAACGTCAGCATAAACTCAATACCAAATCGTTCCCACGGGGCAATTCCTGCAGAGTGAACCACTGCGGCTGACAAATTACCCTGATAGCCGGGAATTGTTACCCTAAAATGCAAAAAAAATAATCAATCGAGTTGAACTAATTATAAACATATATATTTTATGTATTTTATATTTGCTTTTTGTCATTTTTAAATTTTTTTGTCTTAAGTAACTTGTTCATGTGGGGAGGGGTTAGGAACTCCTTTGGATATTCATATCAGGAAAAATGAATCGATCTCTGCTCTCCGTAGATTCCAGGTATTTACTGACCCGGGAAACTAGTACCTGCTTAGGTCCCTTGTCTAGGGCCACGGATGAAGTCTACACGGCCAGCCACGGCGGAGAAGAATACCTTCGGTACAGTGTGGATGGCGGAAGTGGCAATCACTTGATTTTAAGGATTGTATAAAATCACTCACCAACCCGTCTAGCCAGCGTGGTGTTTTAAGGCTAAAAAACCTCCTATCAGGAATATGGCGATATCTAAAACAAAAGGAATGGGTCCCAGGTGGGTAGACCATACAGTAATGGCAAATCCCACTCCTTTGAAAAAAAGGACAGCTTCATGGAATCTGAGGGAATCAAGAAATCGCTAAAAACCACACGATTGAACATTTCAACTCTAAATATAAGCTCCTTAAGATGAAAAAGCCTACGAACTCGAAGAAGACATCAAGGACTTAAAATGGGTCATAATTGGTCTAGCAGAGGTAAAAAGAAAAGGGGAAGAGTACATAACACTAGAGTCCAGTAACATCCTATATTACAAAGGGTGAGAAGAACAAAGCCTAGATGGCGTAGGATTTCTAATTTCCAAGAAATATGCCCATAAAGTAGAGCAATTGCAATGATTAGGCTAAATGTAAACGAGAACATCTCTCTGAAAATTATTCAAGTATACGCTCCAACCGCAGTACACCCCCATGAAGAGATAGACGAATTTTATGAGAAAATTGCAGAAACTAGCACGAATTATCACAGCACGTTTACGATGATAGAATAGAAGACTTCAACGCTAAGATCGGACAACGATTTGAAAAAACCGAAAAATAAATATAGGCGGTTCTGGAGTTAGAAATGAGATATGAGAAACGTTGGTTAACTTCCTACAAGCCCACAAATACTATGCAATGAACACATTCTATAACAAAAAAAACTCAAAGTGGTCGTGGCTATCCCCAGATGGAAAAACTCGGAACGAAATAGATTAGATACTGGGAAATAAAACAGATATCATACAGGAGGTAACAGTAATAAATACGGCGTCAGTAAGTAGCGATCACCGAATGGTTAGAGCTAAATTATAGAGATAAAACATAATAAAAATAGAGATAAATTTAGAAAAACTTGGAATATTGACACAAATAAACAAAAATCTAATACAGAACAATATAAAAGCAAGTTAAAACCCGTGAAAGTATTAAATATTTTTATATAATATAAAACAATGTATAATATAAAATGTATTTTCATTTCAAAATGTCAAGTAGTTTAGGAGATAATGCAAAAAAAAACATTTTTATTTTGTAACTTTAAAGGGCTGTATCTTTTTTGTGTACACTTTTGTACTAAGATAAGTTGGATTCAATTAATTTATTTTTGTCCCCGGAATGCCTGATTTAATTTATGACATACATACTTTTTGAAACACCCTGTATCAGTGGTGGCCGGTCAGGGCCGGCAGGGTCGGCAGCGCCGACCCACACCTTTATAGATATTATAGATTTTTTTTAATATTAAATTTAATCAGTATTTCAATAATTAATTGTGGCAGATAATCAGTTGATGTCATTTGTTTCTGTGAAATAAAAAAAATATCTGTGAAATAACTAAATTTTATTCATGGTTTTTAAAGAATAAGACCAATTCGACCAGACTAAATTTTATTCATGGTTTTTAAAAGAATTCGTCCAATCTGAGCGTTAAGTGATCCCTGTGTAAAACACTTTTCAAATTAATGATCCGAAATCGGAGACATGCATCCGTCTGTGAATTCTTAAATAGTCACGTTTTAGGGTTTCGGCAATCCGATCCCAATATTGACGATTTACAATATTTACATGTTAAAATCAACGGAATATTACTTGATGAGCAACCAAACATACATTTCTTTCCATATGAAGTTAATTACGAAGTACGGCAAATTTAAATTTGCTGATGCTTCTTAAGGATTGATGATTGGTCGTGAACTGTACCTTGTGAGCGTGGGAGAAAATGTTATTCGGGATGAGGATGGATAAGTATTGAAGTGAAGTGATATTGAGTGCACGAACTAGCTTTTCTTTCTGTGATTTATTTTTATTTTCTAAAGTAATACTGTGATACGTTACCACTGCCGTAAATAGTTAAAGGGTTTTTTGACATATTAGAAGTTTTTTTTAATAAATGTGTAAACAAATTCAGGTAAATTAACCTAAAAAATGCAAGCCATGGGAGAAACTGTAAGTATTGATAAATCTGATATTGTAAATTATATTTTGCAAAATGGGTTTTCATCTATTCCATACGAAAAACATATTGTTATTAAAAATATGAGGCGCCCTTTGCCTAAAATGACCCGGCTTATAAATATTAGTACAGAGGAGGGTAAGGGAAGTAATAGATCATTTTCAGATAATTGGTATAGCAAGTACTCATGGCTTACCGGGATTGAAATAAAAAACAAACTTTTCTGTTTGGTGTGAATCTGGTTACGATAATTTAAAGGAAGTATTTAGGGCTTTACATAAACATGATATTTCGAAAGATCATACATACAGCCAGATTAAATTAGATTTATTTGAAAAACAATATATTTATGATTCATTAGATAATGCCCAAAGTGAAAATGCTATTAAAGCGAAACTGTAAAAAATAATCACGCAGTTTTACGTTGTTTAATTGATATTGTAATTTTTTTAAGTTGTCAGGAATTAATATTTAGGGGACACGATGAATCGGAGCATTCGTTAAATCAAGGCAATTTTAGAGAAGTAATAAAGATGTTTAAGAAATACGATTTGGAATTTTCTAATTTACTTTCTGATTTGAAGACATTTAGCGGTGTATCTATTACGTGGTAATATTTATGAGAGATTTTTAGATTTTACAGTGGTGAATAAAAACCATAAGGCAGAATAAATCTTTGGTGTTTTAACGGACAGATAAAAATTTTTTAATATTAAAAATAAATTGATAGGGCAAAATTATCACGGCGCTGGCGTGATGTCTGGTGAATTGAATGGTCTCCAGGCAAAAGTTAAAACTATTGCAGCGCAAGCTTTATTTATTCACTGTCATGCGCATAGAATGAATTTAGTTTTGCAGGATACATGTAAAAAATTAAAAAATGTTGTCTTTTTTTGGAAGTTTAAGCGGATTTGCTTCATTTTTCTCAAGTTCGCCTAAACAGACTAATGTTTTAGAACAGTTTGTTTCGAAAACAATTCTAACAGTTTGTCAGACGTGATGGAATCTCAAATCTCGGTTAGTTTTCACTGTAGCAGATTTTCGTAAACAGCTGTTGAAAGTTTTTGATTTTATTATTGAATGCGACGATTTTGAAAGTGATGATATCTCGATCCGTGAAGCAATCGGTTTGAAAACTGTATTAAATGATTACTCTTTTAACATACTTTTAAATATTTTTTGGAAAGTGTTTACCCAAACCGATTTAATATTCAATGTTGTTCAAAATCGGTTAACTGATAGTATTCATTCCAAAAATAGAATAACAAAACTAGTGCAAATCTCAGAGATTTTCGTAATGATAGTAATTTCCAGTAGGCAGTGACGTTTTGGATTCGCTTGATATTTCCGAACCCCCCAAAAAGACAAAGGCATGACACAGAAACAGATCTCGAAAAACCAGTAGGTATATTTTGAAATTTTGGAAACTATTATTATGCAAATAGATACTCGTTTTTCGAATTTTGGAGTTTTGCAATTTTTTGACCTCTTTGACGATTCAAAATTTAAAAGTTACGCCAAAGAATTTCTAAGATATCTATTAGACAGGTTAATTAAAAATTATCCATCATTCTTTAACAAAATAAAATTAAAAAATGAATTAAAAGTTTTAATGCTAATCCAAATATTTTCGGAAGGTGGGATAAGTTACAAGATATGTATAATTTTATATACTGCAATTAATTACAACAAAACTGTTATCGGAATTAATAAATTATTGTCATTAATTCTCTCATTACTACCAACGTCTGCCTCAAATGAACGAGATTTCTCTTGTCTCAAAAGAATCAAAACGTTTTGTTGAAACAAAATGAAACAAGAGCGAATGTCAAGCTTGTCTCAAATGTCAATAGAAAAAAAAACTTTTAAAGTCTCTCCAAAACTCTAATAAATTTTACGATGACGTTATAATCCATTTTGCTACTTCCAAACAACGTAAAATAGAATTAATTTATAAACATGTTTGTTCTAAATTTAAAGAAAAAAACTATGATGATTGAAGTCTTTATTACACCTATCTGAGGAGACAAAAAATACCTTGCCGACCTCGTCTCTCAAGCCACGAGCTGCCACTGCCCTGTATATTAGTGAAATACAAAAACACTCAATACCTACCAATATAAAAGCAGTCTAGGAGTACATTTACGATACAAACATAATTTACAAATATATTTAATTTTATAAAACCAAGTATTCCTTGCACTAATGCCGCACCCTGTATATATATTTGCTCTAACATTAGTTGTTAATCGTATTATAACAAATATATCATTTAGTATTATTTTGCTCATATTTTTTACATAACTTTTCTCATTCGTTCAAATCTAATTAATTAAGATTTCTTATAATATGTATCTATATTATATAAATATATCTAAAGAAATACAATTTTAAATTCATCCAAATAATGAATTTCTAGAATACGCGCTAGTCTGGTATACTTTTTTGCAAATATATTTGTTAAACGTAAAAAATAATTTTATTGCACCTAATAAGTCTCCACCAGGAACACAATCACAGGACACTTGTACTGGCCATAAACTTTGAAAAAGATAATTTGCATTCATGGATCGTCAGTTGTTTTTCAGTTTAGACGGGCCCTACAACATTCTCTT